GCAGAAAGAGAAGCAGCAGCTGCATCCAGAGCAGCAGCAGCAGCAGCAGCAGCAGCAGCAGCAGCAGCCCTCAGTGGAGCGCCTCACTAAGGATGCTGCCCATGTTGCATGTGCTGCGCCGAGGAGGATGTGCGAAGCAGCAACAGCAGCAGCAGCAGCAGCAGCAGCACTGTCTCCAGCAAGTCGCGCGGCGCTGCTGCTGCTTAGGCTGCGTGATGAAGGCAGCAGCATGCGCAGCAGCGGCACGCAGCAGCAGCAGCAGCAGCAGCAGCAGGTCTATGTGGCTCTGCAGCAGACGGCTGCAGAGCTGTTGCTACTGCAGCACAGCAGCAACTACGAGTCCTTATTGCATTTGCTGCTGATGTTGCTGCTGCTGCGCCGAGAAAAGCGACTGCCATCCCCAAGCAGCTGCAGCAGCAGCAGCAGCAGCCTCTTCGGTGGCGTCTCCTCGTGCTGTTGCATCGAGCCTGCAGAGATAGTGCAGCAGCAGCAGCAACAGCAGCAGCAACAGCAAGACCTGCTGCATTGGAAGAGCATGCTGCGGAACAGCAGCTGCAGCTGCGTCGAATGGTGTCAGGCGCTTCTGCTGCTGCAGCAGCAGCAGCAGCAGCAGCAGAAGCACCAGGAGCAGCAGCTACTGCTGCAGACTTGCATAGTGGTGCCTCCCCCAGTTGCGCTGCATGCAGCTGCAGCAGCAGCAGCAGCCGAGGTGGACAATTTGCTGCTGCCGATGGCTTTGCTGCAATTTGGCCCCTCTGGGGAGCAGCAACAGCAGCAGCAGGAGCACCGGCAGCAGCAACTGATTCTGCAGCTGCCACAACCAAATGGCACATGCATGCTGTCTCGCCGGCTCATGCCCGTAGCAGCAGCAACAGCAACAGCAGCAGCAGCAGCAGCAGCAGCAGAACGGGGAAGTGAAGGCAGCAGCACCAGTTTCGCGGTGTGGAGAGAAGTTGCAAATGCTTGCAGCAGCAGCAGCAGCAGCAGCAACGGGGCGTTGGAATTTGTTACGGTTTGCATTGATTCTCTTGTGCCTGCGGTGGGGCAGCAGCTGCTGCAGCAGCAGCAGCAGCAGCAACTGCTACCGCAGCAGCAGCAGCAGCAGTTGGTGCTGCAGCACATGCTGTTGGGTCGCAGCTTGCACGACGAAGCCGTGCAGCTGCTGCCTCGCGGGTGGCAGCGGCACGCTGCTGCTTCTGCTGCTGCTCCTGCTGCTGCTGCTGCTGCTGTTGCAAAACACACAGGGTGCATGTACATCTTGCTGCTGCTGCTGTGGCGGGAAATCCACTCTGATGCTGCTCTGCCCTTAGAAGCATGTCCCGCTGCGTGTCAGCAGCAGCAGCAGCAGCAGCAAGGGCTCTGTCAGGTGTGCGGTTCTACCTGCTGCAGCAGCAGCAGCAACAGCAGCAGCTGCTGCCGGAGGCAACAGGTGTACGACTACCGTACATTTTTAATGTCTCGTTTGCTGCTTCTGCTGCAGCAGCAGCAGCAGGACCCCTCGCTGCTGCCTGTGCACCATCTATTTTGGCTAATGCAGAAGCAGCAACTCAGCAGCAGCAGCAGCAGCAGCAGCAGCAGCAAAGCTTTTGGACTCTGCGCCTTTGCGCGCCGGCTCTGCCGTTTTGCTGCCTTTCGAATTCTCTGCTGCTTCCTGCAGCAGCAGGACAGACAGCAGTTTTTAACAACATTGCAGCAGCAGCAGCAGCAAGGTTCGCGTCAGCAGTGTAGAGGAACAGCAGCGGCAGCTACTGCTGTTGCTGCTGCCACAGAACCTGCAGCCTCAGAGTCTCTTGAGTATAGCATATATCTCCACGAGGAGCAGCAGCAGCAGCAGCTAGACCAGCTGCAGCAGCAGCAGCAGCAAGAGCAGCGGCAGCGGCGGCGCCGCTGGCGTTCCCAGTTGCGTCGACATGAAAATTTTTTTGGTTGGCTGCAGGCCAGTAAGCAGCAGCAGCAGCAGCAACAGCAGCAGCAACAACAGCAGCAGCAGCAACAGCAGCAGGTAGATGCTTATTTGGACCTTCCTGCCATGTACCGCTGCAGCGCCAGCAGCTGCTGCTCATGCACAAGAGCAGCACGAGCTGCTGCTGCTGCTGCAGCACAGCAGCAGCAGCAGAATACAAGCAGCAACAGCACCGGCGCAGCAGCTGTTGCTTCTGAGTGCAGCAGCAGCTTCCAGCAACAGCAACAACAAGAGCAGCAACAGCAACAGCAGCAACAGCAGCAGCAGCTTCAAAGATGCGCAGCTGTTCGCGGGATTGAAGTGTCTCTGCAGCTGCTGTTCCTCCTGCGCAGCTGCTGCAGCAGCTGCAGCTGCAAGACCAGCAGCAGCAAGAGCAGAAGCTGCAGCAGCAGCAGCAGCAGCTGCAGCTGCAGCAAAGCCCTAAAGTGGATTGACAGTTTCGAAGACGCGTGCATCGATCTGCTGCTCCCAGGCGGTAGCAGCAGCAGCAGGACAGCAGCAGCAGCAGCCGCTGCTGCTGCTGCTGCTGCCGCAACGGGCTTCTCAGCAACAGCAGCAGACTCACCGCCAGCAGCAACAGACACAGAAAACGAAGAAGACAGCAGCAGCAGCAACAGCAGCAACAGGCCCGGCCGCAGCTGCAGCATCGGCAGCAGCAGGCGCAGCAGCAGCAACAGCAGCAGAGGCAGCAGCATTGGGAGTGCTGAAGACAGCAGCAGCAGCAGTGTTGCTGCTGCAGTGGCTGTGCCGCAGCTGCGGAAGCAGCTTGAGCTCCATGCGATGTACAGGCTGCTGCTGCTGCTGCTGCTGCAGCATCGCATGCAGCGAACAGCAGCAGCAGAACTTCCTGCTTTCTTTGGCTTTGTTGCTTCTCGCTGCTCGTTGCTGCCCGCTGCCGCTGCGCCTTTGCTGCTGCAGGTCCTTGGCTGCCTCGCCAAGGCAGCAGCAGCAGTTGCTGCTGCAGCGGCAGTTGCTGCTGCTACGGCTGCAACTGGACGAAGCAGCAGCAACAGCAGCAGCAGCAGCAGCGTCTGCTGCAGCTTGCTGAGTGGCCTCCGCTTCGCTTTTATTGCCCTTGAAGAGCTACCAATGGAACTGCAGCAGCAGCAGCTGCTGCTGCAGCAGCAGCAGCAAGGCTCTAGCTTCGGCGAAAGGCTGCTGCAGGAGCTGCTGTTGCTGCTGCAGCTGCTGCAGCAAGTCGCCACTCTTATGTACGGCTACTGCTACGACACGCTGCAACAGGTGTCTCAGCAACAGCAGCAGCAGCAAGGTTGGAAGCCCAGTGCTGCTCTCTCTCGGCAGCTTGCTGCTGCCAGCAGCAAATGGAGAGGCGCAGAAGCAACTGCAACAGCAACCCGAGGAGTGATCCTACTTGCTGCAGCCACAGCGCAGCGCCTCCTAGACGCATGCAGCAGCAGCAGCAGCAACAGCAGCAGCAGCAACGGCAGCAGCAAGGTCGGGCTTGCTGCTGCAGTGGAGCAGCAAGTTGCTGCATTGGAAGAATGTTCTGAGCGCCTGCTGCTGCTGCTGCAGGCAGCAGCAGCGCAGGGCGACAGCCTCCAGCGGGAGCTGCAGCTGGAGCAGCAGCAGCAGCAGCAGCAGCAACAGCAGGACAGCAGCGGCGAGGAAGATACCGCCTTCCTAGACCAGCTCATTGACTATGAAACAGAAGACCCTCTGGCCCTTTACCTGCAAGGCTCCATTCAGCAGCAGCAGCAGCAGCTGCTGCCGCTGCAAGACAGCAGCAGCAGCAGCAGCAGCAGCAGTAGCAGCAGCGGCAGCAGGCACGCGGCTCTTCTAAAGAACCGGCAGCTGCCAACTGCCTGGGCTTCTTTTGTGCGCGGCCTTTGCGCCAGCGGCTTCTAGGGTTTAGGGTTTAGGGTTTAGGGTTTGGGGTTTTGAAGCCCCCACTAGACTTTGAAGAGCAAAGGCAACTTTGCCACGAGGGTTTAGGGTTTTGAATGAGGGTTTGGGATTGACTGGGGTTTGGGAAGTGCGCAGCAGGTCTACAACTAGGGTCTAGGGTTTGGGGTTTAGGGTTTAGGGTTTAGGGTTTCGATAAGTTGCATGCGGTAGTGAGGGTCAAAGAAAGCTCTGCTGCTGACTTGAGCAACATAAGGCAGCAGGTGTCTAGACACCCCAGAGAGCCACTTTGGTGCTGCAGCTGCTTCGTCAGCAGCAGCAGCAGCAGCAGCAGCGGCGGCAAGCTGCCCCTCGAGCTTCTTGTTTGCTGCAGTCAGCAGCAGCCGCCGCCGCAGCAGCGCAGCAGCAACAAACGCTTCGGCTTCTAGCAGCAGGGCCGCGGGGCTCCCAGCCTGCAGCCGCTGCTGCTGCTGCTGCTGTTGTTGCTGCTGCTGCTGCTTGCGCTGCTCTGCTGCGGCTGCCCGCCGCTGCTGCTGCTGCTGCCGTAGCAGCTGCAGCAAGGGAATGTACACTGGGCTTGTTGTGTAGCAGCCGTAAGATGGCACATGCCAGAAGAGGCTTTCCCCCCCTTCTGCAGTTGCTGCTGCTGCTGCTGCTGCTGGGCTTGCTGCTGCTGCTGCCGCTGCTGCTGCTGGGCTCTCTGTATAGCCTACTCCTGCATCCGGGGCTGAGGGGCTCCCTGCGGCAGACATGCGCTGCTGCTGCTGCTGCTGCTGTTGGGGTCCGCCTAGATCCCTCTGAGCGTTTAGACCGGCTTGCTGCTGCAGCTGCTGCTGCTGCAGTCTCAGGCAGGGGGCTGCATCGCGTCGGTGCAGCAGCTGCAGCAGCTCGCTAGCCTCTTCCTCTTCACAAAGAGAGGCTTCTTCATCTGCTGCTGCTGCTGCTGCAGTTGCTGCTGCTGCTGCAGCTTCTGCTGCTGCAGGCCAGCGCGCCCACGCAAAAGGAACAGGATCCATGTCAGTGAAGCTCTGAGAAGCAGCAGTTGCTGCTGCTGCCGCTGCGGCGGCTCCTGCTGCTGCTGCTTGAGAGTCAGCAACGTGTACGTGTGGCAGCAGCAGCAGCAGCAAAGCCAAGGAAAGCAGGAAAGAAGTTTCTTTAAAGTATAAATGTTAAAGTTAACAGCAGCAGCAGCAGCAGCAGTGCCGCTGCTGCTGCCGCTGGCTCAACGGAGCCCCAAACGCAGCAGCCGCAGCAGCAGCAGCAGCAGCAAGTGTGTAACTCCTCCGACTTATTTGTATCCTTTTCTGTTTATTAAATTACTTCGAATGATAACGAAGCAGCAATATACTTCCAGTGTGCCCCTGCTGCTGCTGCCGCTGCTGCAGTGCAGCTGCTGTTGCTCGTACACGAAGACTTGCAGCAAAGAAAGCCTTCTTTAGCTGCTGCTGCCTATTCTTTTTTGCTGCTGCAACTCCAGCAGCAGCATGACAGAGACACTGCAGCAGCAGCAGCAACAGGCTGACACTGTTGCGTTCGCTGCTCCTGCTGCAGCAGCAGCAGCAGTAACTGCAGCAGCAGCAGAAGAAGAAATGCAATGGCAGGGCGCCAGCGCCCGCTGCCGCAGCAACAGCACCGGCAGCACTGTGGACGCTGAGCAGCCAGAGCCGGAGCAGCAGCAACAGCAGCAGCAACAACAGCAGCAGCAGCAGCAGCAGCAGCGGCAGCGACAGCAGCAGGAGGAAGCTCTCGTTGCTGCTGCACTTCTGAAGGCCGCACAGCTGGTGCCTGCTTACCTGGGCATCCCTGCTGCTGCTGCTGCTGCTGCTGCTGCTGCTGCTGCTGCTGCTGCTGCTGCGGCG